TGTCTCGAAATTGTCAATGCTCGCTTTTATCGTCTGCTAGTATCTAGGGTGTTTAGTCCAATTTTATTTTTGGGGCCTTTTGCTTTTAAACCACGATAGCTGTTTAGAGGTTTAAAAACAGAGTTCAACGGTACCTCAGTGAAGTCTGTATGTCAGTTTCTAAGCGGAGATATTCACGTTTTAGTGACGGAAAATGTTGTCCCAAAAATTGTAATAGAAAAAAACAGAAACAAGATGGCGGCCTGTTCCCAAGTGAAAACTGGACCTAAAGTGACAAAAATTTGTATGCTTTATGTCTAACACCTCTTATGTTTTTTGCTGAACCCTTAGCATCAACCATATATCATTGCATTCAGGGCAGCAAGCTCTAACTAAAGTTGTTGCCTTTTTAAAAATAATGATGTAATGCAAATCTAATTAACAAAGAAAAAATGGGTCAAATTATCAGTATTATTAATTAAATACCTTATGAATTATTATTATCCAGTTAGTCTTGCAAAAAACGGTATACTGTAATATGCATACTTTGTAACGATTCTCTGTGTTATGATGTATCTCTTTCTATTTGTTAAAAAATGCTTTTTCTTGCACTGTCACTTTTGTGTGTGTGTGTGTGTGTGCACATCTGACCGAAATTGGCTTTTGCTTTATTACTCCACTGTTAAAAAAATGTTTGATAGCGAGCGGATTGACGTCATTGCATCGTTACTGGTTTCATATGGCTTGGTCTTTCCTTCACTAAACGTGAATGGTTAGTCGCATGCCGAGAGCTTAGCACGAAGCCTGAATACCGTAGCTCCAGCAACAGTCCTCAGAGGTCCCCCGCTAACCCAAAATAATGTCATTTTTGAGTCGAACAATGCAGTTGTAAAATGGACACACCGCAACCTTCCAAGCGCGAGGTTAACGGCTTGACCACTTTGCTACGGAGACCCCCATATTGTTTGATAACGAAGTGAAAATTATGCACCCTTCTTACTGGTTTAACATAATCCTTTTTTCAGTCTTTGCGAGTTATTCTTTCATTTCATTGATGATGAGCGCATTTCACCACAGTGTCCCCCTCTTCTTAACCAGTCGCTACTTAATACTTTATTACTTTTTCAAAATAATCTAAAGTATTCACTCATACCCGATTTGTGATTCAGTGCTTAGTATTAAATAAGTTTCCTTTGTGATTCACTTTGGATTTATGTTGTGTTTCACGGAGCAGCGTTTCATAAGGTAAGAGTCGAAAGTACATTCTACTTTATTAGCGTATCTATGACTCATGTGATCTTTTGCTGGCCAGTAAATATTTATCTCAAAGACTGACAGATGTGATCTAAGATATGCTGCTGTCCTTTTGCCCACTGTCATTGTGACTGCTCTATCAAAATCTAAAAATCAAGTTAAACAGAAACAATGTTAAATAAAAGACTAATAATTATTATAAATATTTATATACATATATTATTATATTATAATGAAATAGTTTTTGTAATATTATTATTTTATTTATATAAAAAAAATAATAAAATATAAAATTAGTTATGATTGTTATAATTATACGCAATATCAAGAAGTCCAGGCATGTTGCGTGAAATTCTGTATGTGCGAGGGTCAAAAGATAAAAAATACATACAAAAAACAATTACTCATATTAAATTATAATTTATGCATTAGAAAAAGTTAAAAAGGTTGTAGATTAAAAAAAATACAACATTAGCACGATGGCATTCAGTGAATTTCATTATTTTGTTTGATTAGTGAGTGCACTGTCTGTTCATTTGCAAAGCAAAAACCTGAAAAAATTATTTAGCCATTTTCTAGCGTGTCAGAAAATCATCAAAATAATATATTCAGCTAATTAAATTTAGTAAAAGTAATAAACATACAAAGATAAATTACTATTTCAACTTAAAATTGTATTATCTGGTGGCCATGCTCAAAGATAGTTGCCCAGGCTGTAAGTCGGGTAAGCTCCAGATAGTTTAATGATACCACAATAGAGATGATGGACAGCCTCAAAGAAAAAATATTAATAATCTGTGTTCAGTTTCCAAGCAAAAATCTGAAGAAATTATTCAGCCATTAGGGTGTGTCAGAAAACTGATCATTATCATTTTGTAAGCTAATAAAATTTAGAAAAAGTAATAAACATACAAAGATAAATTACTATTTCAACTTAAAATTGTATTATCTGAACATTAATTTCTCCTATTATAAGCATTGTCAATATATAACAGACACGCTTTTTATTGTATTCACGCCGTCCGCCATTTTGTTTTAAACCTAACTAATTCAACTAAATTTTACAAGACTGGATGCAGAAAAAATTTAATTCTGAAAACTATTAAAGAACATATCTAACTGAAATTTTACATCTGTATGTAAAAATGGACGCAGAGTTCAATATTACCACAATGGAGATTATGGAAAGCCTAAAAAAAAACAGATATATAAAGAAAATTTTACTAGCCCTAATCCAAATCCCAAAATACTTTTTAGTGAGTAAACGTTCTTTCTAAAAACACATGCTATTCAGCAGTCTCTGACATCTGCTACAGGTATCGCGCGTGTTCGGATTCGTTTCTGAACAGCCAGTATTGAGTAACTCGGGTTTTTATAGTGACTAGTATGGAAACCCTTAAAATTCAGGGACAGGAAGTCCCTTGGGTTACCAAGCAAATCCATTTCCGGTTTAATTGTTTACATTCCATAACAACGAAATCGCTATAGTATCGTGTGCAGAAAACGCTTGACATTGTTACCAGTCACTTCATAGTCTGCTACTATCGTCTGCAATGTTGCGTCTCGTGACATTGTAAGGTACTCCTAGTTTTGCAGCAATTTGTTCCTCGGCGGGAACTCTGACAAGTCTGTATTTTTAATCGGACTACGCACTGAACGGATATTTCAGGCCGCAATACTGCGGGGGTAGAAGTTCAGAGGAGAGCCATATATTTTTTAAAAGAGAAATTAATGTACATTTTCAATTTGATAAGTGTTAGTTTAATTTTGTTATAGTTAGTAGGAAAGAAGAAACATTAAAAAAAAAAATTTTGTTTGTTTAGAGCACTTTCCTTCTCTTACACTATAAATATGGTAGTATGGGACATTGTCTGTGTAATAAACTCATCAGAATTGCTAGATTCTGAACAGCTGATCGCTCAGCTTTGCTGGTGAAAATTCAGTCCAAATCACTTTCCAAAAAATCTCAATTTTTATTATTATCAGAATTAAAAACATCTGACTGAAACATTTTCTGAGCTTTGGCTGCAGAAAGACACATTCTGCAACCTGTACTTGTGGTTGGAACATTAGTATTCATGGCATTTGAAAACAAACTTAGAAAATTCACTGTTATTTCTATAAAATTCTACATGTGTGGATTAGGCTGAGAAATGAAACTTGAAGGATTTTGGCAGAGTGACTTTGCCTGAATAGTTTAATCGTACCTCCGAACATTAGATACTAGTTAAGGGGCGTGTGCGAAGCAAAATGTAAGGGACACACGATCGGCAATGACACC